TATATAAAACTCTTCAGAAGAAGAATGTTCTCTATCTTTTACTTCAACATGCTCTTAGCTCTCCTCCCTGCATTTATGATAAGCATATGATTCTCTTAACACAAGCCCCTTCTTAGACTTTCACAAAGGTTAACATCTGATGCTTTGGAAATGTTTTAAGTGGCATAAATTCTTTGTTATTTGGCACCTTGTGAAAATGAAGCAATGATTTCAACAGGGAAATAGAATACTACAAAGACGATATGAAGCTGCTAATGAGCATGAGCTAATCAATCTTAAGGTGGGAATGTCTACATAACATGTTTCTTTCTTACCTGCCAACAAGCGGTCCAAACAGCCACAGATTTGCCATGATTATATTGAGAGGGAAGCTGAACTGTATAGCAAGAGGAGGGAGAAACAGATACACATCAGCAAGTCTAGATTCAGGTAATTCTTTTCTTCTCTGTTTTTTTGTGTTGTTCCAATGCAAACGAAAGAAATAAACATGTGAGTACCAAAACATTTGCAACTCCAACAATTTTCTGAGAGAAGGGTTGCATTTTCTGACAGAATTGCAAGGGTGCCAATATTTTTGGCCATGACTGTATATAAGGCAAGATCCAATCTATTTTCTCTCTATATAGGTGACAGGGCAACAAGAGAGTAATGTGATGGAGGAGAAAACAAGTGGGCACACAGGCACAGAGCAGAAGGAAAAAAGATGATTTGGGAATGGATTGTATCAGGTCAGTAACATTACAAAGATAAATTCCAACATGACACACCAGAGGTTTAGGATTTTGATTACGACACTTCCTTTGAACAATTAAAAAAATCCAATTGAAACACAAATTTTGTAGAATGTTATACATGCAAGAAGCAGCTATGATGCAACTTTCTTTTTGAACAAACCACATTCTGAGTATAGAAGACTGACGTGTTTCAAACATAAGACTGAACCATGGTTTGACACTACAACAAAAAGAGATGTACAGTGGTGCCTCGCATAGCGACGTTAATCTGTGCAGCAAAAATCGCTGCTAAGTGATTTTGTCGCTATTCGATTTAAAAAAGCCCGTAGAAACGCATTAAATGCGTTCAATGCGTTCCTATGGGCAAAAAACTGACCTTAAAGCGAAGATCCTCCATACGGCGGCCATTTTCATTGCCTCTTAAGCGAGGAATCCGTGTGAAAACACAGCGGGCGGCCATTTTTTACCCGGCGGCCATTTTGGAACTGCCGATCAGCTGTTAAAAAAACATCACTTTGCGATGATCAGTAAGTGAAATAGGGAACTGATCATCGCAAAGCGGGAAAAAAACCATTCAAAACATCGCAATGCGATCGCTGTTGCGATCGCAAAATCTTCGTCGCTATGCGGTTTTGTCACTAAATAGAGCGCCCATTAAGCAAGGCACCACCGTATTCATATATTCATCCACATATTCATCCACATATTCATTCACTCTTTCAACTTGTAGGACACCTGCTCTCTGCAAGATTCTCCATCCCCATTCCAATTTCTTTCTGATTTGAGCAAACTATACTTTGTACTTGTATCCAAATGATAGTTTGTGCTTGCCCTGCAAGCCGGGATTACAAACTAATTTAAAGCTGGTTTTCAATAGCAGTATGGAAGACCAAGCCCCTCTCCCAGTTAACAGATTGCTGTTTTTAATAAAATGGCAATATATCAAAACTAGGAACTGACTGAAGCAAAGTGCATAATTGGGGGAGTCAACAATAAGACCATTTGTTTCCATAATACTAAATGGCACTTGGTGTTAACTGTGAACAGAGCCATTAATTGTATTTTAATGCTGGATCATTATATTTACAGCTATTTTCATAATGGCCAAAAACTTGTTGCATAGCATTGTAAATCACACTGCAATAGGTACAATGAATCAAAGGGGATTCAGTGAGTCAAATCTTCCATATGTTCCATCACTTCAAATGGATCTATTCTCACTGCAAATGCAACATCAATTTTTGGACTTTTGTGTACAAATTTCTGCACTATCCATGAAGGAACTGTGCTGAGCCTGAGGACATGGAGTTTTTGCCACAAAAGCTTGTGATTTGTGATTTTATAGTGGTCCAATAAAAAGTATCACTCACTCCCGTGTTTGTGTAATCTTGGGGACCATATGCATTATCCTTGTTCTTTCTGGATAACTATGCTAAAGTAAGTGTGGCTTACTATGCGAAGCAACTGGATTTTGGCCATTCAGCAACTTTTTCGACTGGTAAAGGTAGTGTAGACTTTTTTGTATTAATTATACCAGAATCAAAGCTATATAAGAAGATCTGCAATTAACTTTATAAAGTAGAGATGATATTGGAATTTATAAAACTTTGGTTAAAATCCTGTTGCTTAATGTGGGAAGTCACACTAGAATTGGCCTACTGAATGAGTGGGGATTTGCTAAGTCAGTTTGTTGAGTCAATTCCTTCATAGGTTCCATTGATTCAAATGGCCTACTCCAATTGTGACTCAGTGCTAAAGTAAGTTACAGTTAGCGTGGGTCCATTTGAATCAATGGAATCTATGGATGAGCTGACTCACCAAATCTATACTGATTAAATGTGCATAACCCAGTGCAATTTACTATTTTAAGCAAAGGATTTTGGTCTTTGTCTAATTAAACATTTGGTAGCCCATAAAACCCCAGAAAACATCTGCCTGAATGTGTTTCTCATGAAATGTCCTTGAAATTACTAGCGAGGGCATTATTGGTGACTAACACTGCTGTAGTATATTATTACTTGCAAAAAAAGTTGACACTGATAATTTCAAAGTAATTCCACTCAAAACATATGAGAAGTTACATATTGCTGAATGCTTACCTCTGGTGCTAACTGCTCAAACATAATGATTTCAGGCCCATGACCAAACAGATTGGGCATAGGATTTTGCTCTAACCTATAACAATAAAATGGAGAAACTGAAACAAACAACTTTGGATGAAACATAATTACATCCAAAAACAAAAACAACGCAAAAAGCACAGCAGAGATACAGTATTACAATTCTACAATCAAGGATTAAAGCAGAGGAAGTTTCTTTGAACTGAAAGTATTCAGTACTGACATTTAAAAAAGCATTACTTTTTTCTCTTTGCCAAGGATGGGACCCACCAGTTGCACATGCACATGTTGCAAAATTGACCTATGCCGGAAGGGCCAGACTGGAATATACCTTCTAAAAAAGAGTGGACAGACCCGAATTTTGAAAAATGACATCTTTTGTTATATAAAAGTTCATTACTATAAAACGCCTGGTGTAATGTAAGCAAGATGCCAGCCAGCCAGCCCTCAAGAAGCCAGCGAAGCCCGCTGAGCCACAGCTGAGTGGAGCCTAGCTGAGCTGAGCCAAGAATCCAAGGAGGGAAGAAAAGAAATACAGAAGAAAAGAAATACAGCAGCACAGAGGTAACACACAGAAACCATGGATTTTCCTTCACAGATTTTAACTGACAGACGGAATGGGTGAGCGCTTAGAAAAACTTTTTATTTTTCACTTGTATGTGTTAAAGGGCTAAAAAGCTAATAAATTTATTTGTACCTTTACAGTAGGACCCCCACATCTGCTTGGGATTGGTTCCAAGCCCCACTGCAGATACTGAAAACTGTGGATAATAGCCAGTACTACATATAAAGTATATATAGAATGGTAAAAGGAGCAAAAAACACTAGAAAATAATATTTTCACATGCATTATCAGAACTGGCTACTACAGACCACACTATGTATTGTTCATTAACAAGTATTCATAACATGGTTTCTGGCTCGTTCTAATAGCCTTTTCTAGTAATACACCTGAAAATAGTTTTTTCTGGATTTTTAAAAAAGAGTTTTAATATTTTCATACCTTAGATAGGTGGAAACCATGGATACTGATATCAAGGAAATGTGGGTATGTATTCATTTTTACTTATTTACAAAGTTACATGTTTTCAACACCTTTGAAGAATTTTTATGCTTATGGAACATGATGCATGAAGATTGTAGAATCAGACATGCTATTGTTGCCTGGACTCATTTTTACTTTACCATGAGTGAAAACAGAGATTTATTTTCATTCTCTGAAAAGAGATGGGCCAAGTTTGGAAGCTATATTTCTGGCAGGATCAAGTAAATGACTTATACTTAGATACCTAGATGAACTCTGATATGATTACCACGATTCTCTGGTTCACACTAGTATTTAAGCCTTTCAGGAATAAGTGTTAGCTGTGATGGATCACCACAGACTTAAACTACCAACGAGTATTCTATAGCGCTCTGAGAGCTTCGAGTGTCATACTTCTGACCTTGAGAATGGGGCTTTCTTCTGAAGAAACATTTATCAAATTGTCCTTGTAATCTATTATCAGAAGAAGTAAATACTCACTTGGCTAATGCTTCAGAAAGAATACCAATGCTTGTCCTCTTAGGTGGTGCAGAAGAATGGCCTGGTGCCAATTTCACAGTGAAATTTGTTGTAATTGCTCCCTTTTCTGTAATGCCTATTCTATTAAGTGGGAGAAAATCCATTAAATGAAATTCCATGTAAAACACAGCAGGATTTTGAACAAATGTGACTTATTTAATTATTAGGTCTGGCTTTTGCTACCTTACTGTGGGTTCTATTTAGTTTTCTTATTTGCTCTTAAATTCCAGCTTGAAACTGTGTCTTGTGCTTGTGATCTTGGTTCAGTTCCCAACCATTCTATGCTGCATTACCAACAAATTCCCATATTTATTTGAGATCCAATCACTACATAGCCCAATTACCATGTTATTCCAAATTATTTTCAACATGACTGTGTGGCTTTGTAAGGCTGTAAAATAGGAACTGCGGATCTGTCCATACTGTTTAATAGCTGGAGGGTATTCTGAACAGGAATGTTCATAGTCACCCAGTTATGTTCACCCTTAAAAAGATGGGTATAGAAAACATTGTCAACACCCCAAATTAGGGGTGGGCAAAAATTCTAGATTTCTGTTGAAATTATTTGCTGCAGCTCAAGCTGAGCTTCCAACTCTTCATTCTTTAAAAAGAACATAAACAACATTTATTGTAGCAAACTTTCATCTTTCTTTACTTACAAAGCCACTGGTTTCTCTATCCCAGTGATGATTCCTTCGTATATAAAGCTTCCTTCATCAAGCAAGAAGGAAAGTTGAACTCCTCTAGACTCCAGCTCAGCCACAATCTTCTTTGCTCCATTTTTACCACCTACCTGGAAAAAAAAAACATTATACCATCTCACTAAATTAAGCCACTAGCCTCCTATTCTGCCTCAGGCAGTAACAAGTATTCAGTGCTATAGCAATTACCACAAAATTATTTTCCATTAGAAACAGCATTATGATACAAATTACTGGAAGTGGAACCTAAATGAAATGTTCACCACCTCATCATCCTAACTACACCAATTGCTGGATCTTACTAAAATCCTGCATTCATATGCAATCAGTACCACTGAATGACACATGTTAGAAGCTATTGTGCATCCTACAAAGGAATCTCTTTTAGTACAGTAGCTGACCTCACATTAGTAGAAGTAACAGAATCCCCAATTTCCAACAACCAAACCATACATTTCAGCACCCCTCTTTCTGTAGGGAAGTATTTGTCATACAACTTCCCAGTTTAAAATCCTGAAATGATTACCTTTGGTTTAACACAGAGAGTTCAATTTTTGTTTGATAGGGTAACTGCTAGTGGTTATGGAAAAGCACTGTAATAATTAGCAATACTAAAAATAGATATTCTTTGCAAATCAAAACACTACCATTCTTTTGAGCCCTAATGAGGATCAAGTTCCTGTAATGTATGAAAAACAGCAATATTAAAGACTCTCTAGATAAACTGAGTAGCAAATGTTATCTACTTTGAATTTACATTTCACCCTTTGAGATGGAGCTGGTCATGATACCAACATAAAAAAGCAAGAGGAAACTTGCAAAGGCACAGCATACCTCTTCATCGTGTCCAAGGCCAATATAGAAAGATCTCTGAGGCCTGTAATTTTGTCTTAATAAGAATTCTAGAGCCTGTAGAATCCCCTAAAGAATGGGAACAAGCAAGCAAACAAACAGACAAATCAAATATGCACTTCTGTCTCTTCATCAGAGAATCTGCACTATACTGAGAGCAACCAGCATCTGGCTACTGGAAAGCAGAGCTGACAAACAGATTTCAGTATATACCTTCCCTTCATGGATTTATCACAGGCCTATCTACAGGAAGTTCTCTCTCTCTCTTTTTCCCCAAAATTCAAAATATAAGCTAAATTGATGCTGCTAAGCTTCAAGGTACAATTCAAAACCAAAATATAAACATTTATTTAGTGTTTTGAGCCTGCCCAGCTTGCTTAGTTCTCTTCAGGACAACTGATTCAGCTAAATTTCATGCATCTCAAGATGTTTTATTTCAGTCAGGGTGTGGTTATACTATTGATATAATCTGAGAGCTAGATCAAGGTTTTTGAAATCAGTTTAAAGTCACGAGGTAGTCATATGGCTTTTGCGTTAGCGTGTGCATTCACCCTGACTTAAATGTTCAAAGCCTGGATTTTGTTTGTTTTTCAAAAGCTGAGTCCAGAAATAGCAGAAGATCACAGCCCTTCTTCCTCCCCATTAATTTCGGACTACAACCTCCCAACCATTTTTTCTCCAAGCCCTGTGTTCCCATTGACAACTTCAGTTTAGAATTTATGCTAAAAGAAGAGCATAAAGGAAAAGCCTTCTCAGGCCTATTTTGCAGAGAAATAACAGACATACTCTGAAAATGTAAGACTGAGACAGATATGTGTGGTGAATAGTACATCTGAAGCAAAGCAATACACAGCGATATGGCCAATGATGTGAGTTTTAAAGTACAGGTTTCACTTACCTATATTGAATCTTTCACTCCACACTGCAACAGAGACAGTGAGTCATCATTACATAAGAAGAACTAGTCTTGTAAGAATAAAAGCCTTACATAGTTCATCATTCCTTCCCCATAGTGGCCAAACAGATGTCTATGAATAGCCCATAAGCAGAACATGAGTGCAATGTAACCCACTCATGTTTTCCAGCAACTAAGGCTGAGAGCCATGCTATTTCTGATACTGGTGTGGTAATATACAACCATCATGACTAGTAGATGTTGACAGCCTTGTATTTCACATTTGTTTAATCAACTTTTAAATCCATTCAAGATTTTGGCTATCAAAACACAACTGAAGTAAAACAAATTTAATGTGGATTTGAATTTCAAGAAAGGTTTTGTGTTCCTTACAAAAGACACAATTCTACACAACATTTACCATGACAGAGTTTTTGTTATCCAGTGTTCCTCTTCCATATATAAACCCATCACGCTCCTCAGCGGAGAAAGGATCATTGACGTCCCACCCTTCTGGGGAAGCTGGGACTACATCTATATGTGCAATCAACATGTAGGGCTGTAGCTGAGGATTTGACCCCTTGATGCTGAACAGGTGGCTATATTCGCCAATGACTTCATGTTGAATGAATGCAGCAGAAAAAACTGCAGGAAAGGCTTCAGGAAAGAGAAATAGAAGGGACAACTGCTTAGCCAGGATTACTTCTAACACTGAGATTATGAATTAGATCAGCGGTTCTCAACCTTGAGTCCCCAGTCGTTCTTGAACTAAAACTCCCAGAAGCCTTCACCACTAGTTGTGCTGGTCAGGATTTCTGGGAGTTATAGCCCAAGAACATCTGAGGACTGAATTAGATGAATCAGTGGGGACATATTAACTAAGGACATGAATTAATTTTTAAAGGTTTAGACTGATGATTTCTTTTACATTTCAGATAATGTTTTATTCCAGGAAGTGGAGGAATATTCTATACATGTCCTACCTCTTCACTCCCTCAACCTCTAATCTAGGGAACAGATTTTGAAGTACATACACATTTTTTGGTTGACAAGTAAATACACGTGCACCTCAATCTTTTGTAAAAACAATCAGCAGTATTACATATCTGGCCAACATTAGCTGTGACTTGTTTGTGCAGCACTTGTTACTATACTTAGTAAAAAGCTTACCAAATCTTCAAAGTTTTCATATACATTGAAATCCCCTTGTGCAACTCCAAAGTTGTAAATATTAATAATGTCATCAGCCACTGATGTTAAACTATAATTTAAAGTTGCCTATCCCCCTTAGGTGCTGATGATCCCTAGGGATCCCTTTCAACCTGGAACTGTCTTTGGACTCCTTGGGACAGGGTGAAGAGAAGCCTTCAATATTAAAAAAAAGCCGCTGCTAGTCCTGCTTCTAAGTTTGGGACTGAAGGCAGTGATTTTCAGATATTAAAGGCTTTTCTCCCCTAACATCTTGAGGCTCCCAAAGGCTTCCCCAGGTTGAAAGGGATCCCTAGGGAACCTTGGAACCTGGAGGTCAGGGAATGGAAACTTTAAATCAAACATTAACATCGGTGACTAATGATGTCATCAGCATTTATGCAGCTTTATCAACAGATTTCCATTCACTATCTCACAGTTATATAAGTGGGTCTATAATGCATTGTTATCATCATATTGCTAGTGGAGAGTTTAGGTTAAGGAGGAGTGATTTAACATTACATATTTCTATCTGGAAAGATTTTTGAACTCAGGACTTTCTCATTCATGTTCTGGTCTTAGGCTGTAATCTTACATACATTTAATTGCTGGCAACTATCGCTGTATTCAGCAACTTAGTTCTGTGTAAATATGTACAGAATTCTGCTATTAGCATCTATGCTACATCAGTTTTCCTCCAACTTTTATGAGTTCAACTTCAGAATTGAAACACTGTATTGACATAAACCTTTGCATCACAAAACTGATCTGTAGACAGATATGACAGTAAATATTTCAAAGAACACTCTATACTAAGCTTTGGGGGGAAAGGAGGCAGCCTTAAGCTGAATCAGATCACTGTTTCATCTAGCTGAGAACTGACTGTCTACACCAAGGATGTAAATGCCCTCTAGATTTTATGAGTTTCAACTCTCAGAAGCCCAAGATAGCAAAGCCAATGGGACAGGACTGTGTGTGTTGCAGCCCAAACATCTGGAGGGCCAAGAGTTTCTCAGCCCTGCTGTACACATGGTAATACTGTAATACAATTTTTCAAAAATTACAATTACAAAGACATTCTCCTTTTTAAAAGCCTCTGCTATTACTTCAGTTAATTAAATAGCAGAGTATTCAATAACAACTTTCAATTTTGTCACTTATGTGCTACTGAAAAATAAATCACATTTTATCAGTGAAGTGTATCAGTTTTGTTAAGAAAATCTAACAATTCTTTAACCATGTAAGAATCAGATTTTGTATTCAGTTAATGTTAATCTCTCAGTTAAATGTAAGAATATAGACTCAAATACCTTTGCGAATATATGGTTCAAATTCTGCCAGGGCTGTCACATTCTGATCATCTGGTGCAAAGGAAACAGTCTGTAGTCTGATGGCACCTTATGTAAAATATAAGAAAACAGATTTCCAGTTTTCTCAAATGAGTTATATACTACAAAAATACTAAAATGAGCTTAAACACTTCTCTGTCTGACAAAACAATGTATCACTTCCAATAAATCACCTTCAATATTTCTGCAATTAAACACTAGCTATGTATACAGTTTGTTGCCCAATATGCTGGTTCACATATTCAGATTTTTGCACATTCAAGATGTACAGGTATTATTCCTAATTATGTGACATCTCACCTTCTTGAGCCTCAGGCTCAAGAAGGTGAGATGCACATCTTCAGTCACAGGTACGGTCTTTCAGATGGTCTGAAATAATATTTAACAAGGACACAGAAGTGGGCTGTACATCTAACCTCCACATATTTGTTGGCTGTCTAAGCCGAGAGACCAGGCATGTACAGAATATGTAGGGAACTATTTTTCCCCTTTCCATGGGTTGCATTCTTCAGGAGCCATATATCAGTAATCAGTGGGATGGAGCCACCTTTTCTCTTCCTATCTTTTTACCTTACACATTTCATCCATTCATAGAACTATACCGCATTTTTTTTCGTGTAGACACCCCTGTGTGTAAGACACCTCTCACTTTTCTAACCCAAAATTTCTTTCTTTGCAGAAAGCTGCTTTCCCTCTCACAAAAAGTGGAGGGGGAAAGCAGCTTTTTACAAAGAGAGGGGGGAAGCATTTTCCTTGCAAGAAAGTGGAGGGGGAAGGGCTTTCCCTCTCCACTTTCTTTGCAAAAAGCTGCTTTTCCCCTCACAAAAAAGTGGAAGGGGAAAGCACTTCCCCTGCTTTCCCCATCACTTTCTTTGCAAAAAGCTGCTTTCCCCGCGACATTTTGCGAGGGGGAAAGCAGTTTTTTGCAAAGAAAATGAAGGGGAAAGAACTTTCCTTTCAAGAAAGTGGAGAAGGAAAGAAGGAATCGCTTTCCCCCTCCATTTTCTTGCAAGAAAAGTGCTTTCCCCCTGCACGCTTTTTTCTTTACAAAAAGTGGAGGGGGAAAGCAGGGATCAACGTGCTTTGATCCCTCCCCCCTCCTTACTTCCGTGTATAAAACAACCTTCAATTTTTCCTCTAATTATTTTAGGAAAAAGTGTTGTTTTATACACAGAAAATTATGGTACTTAAGTGCAACCATCCCATTTATCCATTTCTCATTAATTCCTTTCCCTCTGTCATCCATGTGTCCATTTGTACATACATGTATACATGCACATCAGTTTACCCAACCACATATTTTCACTCAAACAAGCACACCATTCTCTTTCTGTCTACATCACACACACATGCATGAACTTCATACAGTTTTTTTGCCTCCTCCTGTTTCTATCTTATCTTATGTACAGAAACTATTTACACAGAGATGATGAACCTGTTGGTGGTAGGGACATCAGATAGGATCCTGCCCCTCTCCCACTACACCAGGGGTCTCAAACATGCCGCCCGGGGGCCATTTGCAGCCCGCTGGATGATAGTTTGTGGCCCCCACCTAGCCTGCCCCCCCGAAGCACCCACACATCCTCTGCTGTCAAGTGTAAAAAAAAAAGCCTCGCAGACAGGCGGGCTGGCTGCAGTTCTGGATGGAGGGTGCAAGAGGCGCTGTCTTGGGAGAGAGCTGGCGAGCGAGGCGTGCTGCTGGCCCTTTTCCCCGAGTGCCCAAGCCACTGCCGAGCGATGCCTGAGAGTGGCACTCGCTCCCGGCCCATTCTCGAAGAGCGCCTCCAAGCCATCAACAGCAGCTGCTGCTGCCTCTTCCAGGGAAGTGGCTCTCTGGCTCTCTCTCGGCACCCCCAACACCAGCGGCTGCCTCAGCACGTGGTGGTGCTTCCTCCTCCTCGTCCTGCTTCAGCCGCCTCGGCTCTGGAGGCTGCCTGGGCTCACCTCGCAAAGTTTGCTTCTCTGTCGTGGTGGGGATAGCTGCTGCTGTTGAGTGCATCTTTTTTTGAGGGGCGCCCTCAGAGGAAAGTTGATGGACTTCCATGTGTGTGTGCATGTGCGTGCACCTGTGGGGGGCCCACTCCATTCTGTTTAATTTCGCGAGTACTGAAGGGGGCTTTTCTCCTTTGGCAAGGCGATTCTGTGAAGGTTTTTTAAAAAAATATGTCGTGCCCTCCTCCCCCCCCCCCTAGTTGGTCGCTGGCGCGCCCTCTCTTCTCCGCTTCTTCGTCCTGCTGCTGCTGCTGGTAGTGAAGAAGGAGCCGGAGGGGGTCGTGGCCGGCGATGAAGGCTTATGCGCCCCTCCTCCTCGGAGCCCCAGCCGGGCTAAGGAAATTCCTGGGCGGCTTCCTCGGGTTCTTGCTCTGCTTTGCGGAAAATCTGATGCGGCCCAGCCTCACCCAGACTCTACTTCCAGCGGCCCCCAGGTAAATTAATTTTGAGACCCCTGCACTACACAGATTCAGATCAAATGAAAAGCACTATCACTCAGTATGTATACCTCTTGCTTGGATGCTAGCTAATCAGGCAACAGAAGGAAATGTATGAGTAATTTTTAACTAGAATATTAGCTGGAATATTGATTATTCATCGATGCAGATTATTACTGTAAACTGATTCATGTAAAGAGATGTTTTATAAAATGCATGCAGCAGCTGTAGCAGCAAGCTTTCATGGAGTAAACAACTAAAAAAACTGCTCCTGTATGACAGGTCATGGTGCAGCAAAAGCACTCAACTGAGCTAGCAAGACAGAAAAAGCACTAATTCAGCAAAGCTATGAATAAAGGATAACATTGTAAAAAGCAGACAGACTATAATTTTGCTGTCTTGAATTACCAGAACTATATTATAAGGAAGCAGAGACAGACACATTTGCTTTGAAGGAATGAGTACTTTTTTTTTTGCCTAATTCCATTTTTACATTTGACAAAATAACTCATCTACCCACAATTATAGAGTGGTATAATTTCTATGTCCACAGCTCCACATGTCAATCTTCTTTAAAGGCACTTAAAGAAAGATCAGGAACTATTAAACATAATTTATTGTGTCTTCAGAATTCTAATAAGCAATGCTAGAACTATTTGCAGATTAACATATAGCAGAAATGGAGGAATGTTTTGTAAAAGAAATATATTTCTTAAAACCTCAAACAGACTGGATCACAATATCTGAAGCACTGCCTCCTCCTATACAAACTCGCCTCATCTCAGGTCTGCTTAGGAGTCCCTTTTCCAGATGCCCACACCTTGAGAGGCTAGGTATACGACTGGAAAAGGCGCTTTTCATACTCCACTTTTTCACAATAACTTTCTTTTTCACACTCATGCACACATTGATTAATGAGGTGGAATTTGAAAAGAAAGGTCAGTCTGTATCAGTGGTTCCCAACCTTGGGTCCCCACTCCCCAGATATTCTTGGACTACAACTCCCAGAAATCCTGGTCAGAACAGCTAATGGTGAAGGCTTCTGGAAATTTTAGGGGACTCAAGGTTGGGAACCACTGGTATATATCAACCACCTTACTGCCAAGCAACTGTGCTTAATACTGCTTTGATCATCACCATCAACATCTTACAACTGCAGAACTGGAAGGGACCCTCTGAAATGAATCATCTTATCCAGCCCCTGTCAAGGAGGCACAGGGGGACCAAACTCTCAATCTCTCTGCCTAAACCACTCAGCTATCCAGCAGTTCATCAAAGCAGAGAGATGGGACCTTGATAAACGTGATGGCAGGGTGACTACTTATGGTATATACTGTATCATCAAAAAGGTGGATAAAAAGGGCACTGAATAGCATAACGTTACATCTGTCAATATATATGTTCAGATGCAGAATTAGAAATTAATTAATTAATTAATTAATTAATTTCTAATTCTGCATCTGAACATATATATTGACAGATGTAACGTTATGCTATTCAGTGCCCTTTTTATCCACCTTTTTGATGATACAGTATATACCATAAGTAGTCACCCTGCCATCACGTTTATCAAGGTCCCATCTCTCTGCTTTGATGAACTGCTGGATAGCTGAGTGGTTTAGGCAGAGAGATTGAGAGTTTGGTCCCCCTGTGCCTCCTTGACAGGGGCTGGACAAGATGATTCATTCCAGAGGGTCCCTTCCAGTTCTGCAGTTGTAAGATGTTGATGGTGATGATCAAAGCAGTATTAAGCACAGTTGCTTGGCAGTAAGGTGGTTGATATATACCAGTGGTTCCCAACCTTGAGTCCCCTAAAATTCCCAGAAGCCTTCACCATTAGCTGTTCTGACCAGGATTTCTGGGAGTTGTAGTCCAACAGCCGTCCAGAGACCTTGGGGTAGTGTAGGTGGCATATAAGTTAAATAAATGAATGAATAAATAAAATAAATAAAATAATAGATATAATTGAAGTGGAACTGCAGAGGCCAGACAACTCAGTATATCTCCTGACTCTGGTGTCCAGATGTTAACTGACTGCTTGGCAGATATCCTTTGATTTGTATTCCTGTATTGAGAAGCGAGTTGGACTTGATAGCCTTGTAGGCCCCTTCCAACTTCACAATTCAATGATTCTATGACAATGTGCAATTCGAGTCCCTGACAGAGTCCTTATGTTTCATTTTAAATCACAGTTGGACTTAACAATCCTTCAAATGGAGAACATACGTCTTCAAAAGAATGACTGACCAAAATCCTGTTGTTTAAAATAATAAATTGCATTAAAATAGGCCCACTGTATTAAGGGGGATTTGGTGAGTCACCTCCTCCATAAGTTCCATTGATTCAAATTCTGATTTAGAGCAGGCCCACTGGAATCAATGGAACTTATAGAGGTGTTGAGTCACTACATCCCCATTGAATCAATGGGATTCGTCGTCGTTTAGTCGTGTCCAACTCTTCGTGACCCCATGGACGAATCTAGTGTTATCAATGGGATTACACTAGAGCAATTTATCACACTGACAACAGGATTTTGGCCATTGTCTTCCAGCAGCTCTACAAATGGAGGAGCATCCTCACTGAAAGAAGTATGTGGCCACCCTATGGAAGAGTCATGTCCATGAAGCAAAACAACAACAACAACAAAAAACAAAGCATATTGGGCTGAAGTGGCACTCCGCAAAAGTTTGTGCCAAATGAAACCTGTTTAAGTCTTTAAGGCGGCACAAGACACTTGCTTGTTTTCCCCCTGGGGAGCATAAGACTCTTTTAGGAAAGGCTGGAAAGCCAGCAAGTCGTTTAACCAGTATTGCTGCACCTCCATGGTCATTTGAAGGGAAGATACCTTTCACACAATGTATAAGCGACTCAAAAATAGGAAAGACGTCCGAAGCCTGCCTACTTAAAAGCCAAACTTCCTCAAAAAACCAGCATTCGGGGCGGACGATATGGTGAAACACGCCAGTATTTCGCTCTCAGGAAGTTTAACATGCAGCGTGTGTCCCATCCCGGGAGACAATTCATTTGCCCCTTCTGCACATTTTGGGCAGTATTTTTTTTTCGTTTCCCCTTCGGCCCCGACACGGCGAAATGCCCAGCGGTTTTGAGCGGCTTTCAACCTGAGGGGGTCGCTGAGGAAACGAATAATTGCCTTGCCGGGGCTGGGCTTTGGCTCCTTCCTCCGGTGTTTACCTTGAAGCAGCTCCTTGAGCTCCTGCCGTTCTTCGGGGCTGAAAGTGGGCTGCAGGCGCCGCGCTTGCTCCGAGCGCGCCCAAAGCCCGCGTCCCCCCCGCGCGGGAGGTTCCCTGTGATAGGCTCGAGCGAGCACCACGATCGTCAGGACCACCCCGCTGGCGCACAGCCCCAAGCCGGCCAGCCACAAGGCCCCCCGCACTCGGGAGCGGCCCGCCGCCATCTTCTCGCGACGCGATCTCGCCGGAACTCGGGGCGCTTCGGGAGGCCGACTCGTCCTGGCGCCAATCATTAATGGAGCTGGTTATTCATCACCGGCGCAGGTGGAGAAGGCTTCCGGACCGTCTCGCCCCGGGGTTTTTACTCTGAAGTTCCTCAGATTCAAAGGCACACCCCTGGGCTCCTGCGAAGATTGCATAAAATGGGACTTAATTCCCGAATATATATGCATAAAATAGGAATGCAGGTGTACTTAGGACTGTGGCCTTCAGCTACAAGCATGATCATACTGCTTTTCTATGCTCATAATGTTATTGTTATTGTATAATATTATTGGTGTTATTTAAAAATTGCAAATGAGCAAAGTTTTGTACGTCACAGAATTCTTCCTTGTGTTGAGAACTGTGGACGTTGAAATGGAAGTATTTCTGGTCTAGTGCAGATAGAAGCCCCTTAAGCAGACTGTTCTTGGGCCCAAAGCTGTCCTTTACACTATTTGGAAGTAAATCCCTTTGAACACAGCAAGATTTGTTTCTGAGTAAACTTGCATGGGACTGAGCTTCACTGAAAATTGGAAATAGCTGCAGTGGTCTATTAGATAATAAAACATTTATATGTATGTTGGAACCAAAGTTTCCTGATAATGGATGTTGAACCAAAACAAATACTTGAGCTGTGGAAGCAGCGAAAAGATGTTTGAGCATGGTGAAAAAATCCCAGTACACTTTGTAACAGAGAGTTAAAGGAAAGCAGCAGATGGTCCTTATCATTCTGCTGTGTCTTAGTTTCTTTCTGTTCATATCACAACTTTTGCATGCACCTTGCAGGTTAGTTATATACTTTGCTGCTGCTTCTCCCTTCGCCTTTGCTCTTACAGCATGCTGCACTTTGTTGTGATATAGCCCATTCACATGCACAGCCGTGATTGGATGGGAGATTTTACATGATTCCATGTGGACAGGGACTCAGCAGGCAAAGCCCTCTCAATTCTTTATGTGTTAGCGCATGCAACATGACATATTTTGTTTATGCCTAAAGTGCCTGGGGTGTGTATAAAGGGGGCTGCAATAATTCATACTAGTCGTACCATGTTCCCTTTCCAGTGTGGTCATGTCATCGTATGGTCAAGGAGCACAGGCAGTGAGGCCAGAACTTCAGACTGGGGTCTTGAGCTGCGTGTTCAGGGTCCATAGTGGTGTTTGTGTTGCTTTACCAGCATGTCACGATGACATTTCAAGAACAGCAAATGAAAGTATATGTGTACTGGAGATATACTGAGATTTAGCATGAAATAGTACAATTTAGCTGTTGCATGATGAAAGCAAGGCTCTGATTGTGAGTTGGAGGGAACAGGTGAGCAAACCAAAGTACAAAATCAGGACCTGGCCAAGAAAAAGGTGAATACTTGTATAGATG